ACACACACACAGAGACACACACAGGCCCACTACAGCACACAATCACACACGGACACAGACACACAGACAGACACACAGACAGACAGACACACACAGAGACACACACAGCCCACTACAGCACACAATCACACACGGACACAGACACACACAGACAGACAGACACACACACTCCCACGCACACCTGAAAGAAGGAAAGAGAAACGGACGAGAAAAAATACACTAACATATCGATAGTGTTTGTCTCCAGGTAAAGACACTACGGATCATTTTTCTTAAGCATCTCATTTACAAGATCAAAACTGCACGTAAAACCTATATAAAAAGAGATCCACGATACCTCAACTCGTGTGTCATGATTTCCAAGCCACTGTGCATGTCTGAAACTGGAACATTTCAGTTTGGGTTTATACCACGAAGGAACGACCCCCCAGAACCTCCCGGGTTTCCTCCCCTTCTTCCCGCGCGCATTTCTCACTGCAGGGGTGCCAGTCAAGCTCTCACATGCTGCGTTTGTCCCGTGAAGCTGCCTGGTGATGCCCCATGTGCAGGCGGCAACAAGCAGGAGCAGTGACCCCTCCTGCAGGTGTCGAGTGACGGCCCAGAGCCCAGGCCCACCCTGGGAACCCTGCAGACTGGCTGGCACCTGGGAGAGATGACACCTGCTACTCACACGGTGGGAAGCGGGTATGGCTGGGAGAGCCGCTAAGCACGCTCCCGTGGCCCCCCAAGACATGCGCAGCGTGCCACCTGTGCCCCTTGATGAGCAGAACACACGTGGGAGCCCCCAGAATCAGGCTGCCAGCACACTGCTGCCCCCTGGCCTGGGAGAGGTGTTCAGTGACCATCTGTCTCCCCCAGGCAAACACAGAGCCTCCTTCACTGTGCTCTGCCCCACCCCCCAGACCACTGTCCACTTGAAGGTGGTGCTACTCCCCCACCTTCCTGCCTGAAATCTGTGGGGGAACAGCCGCCCAAGGCCACCTGGGGAACACCGACAGGAAGGCCTGGGGACTCCCCCCTTACAGCCGCCGAAGTCGCCGCCCCTAGAAAGTCTCCGCCCGCTCCAAAGACAGCTCTCCTTTCATAAATTGGCAGGACTACCTTCTCATTTATATGCCATCCAGATAATATTCTCTTCTAACTTTTAATTAAAAAAAAAAAAGTCAAACCTACAAAAAGTTGGAAGAAAATAGTACAATGAATACCTTCTTCCAGATTGATCAGGTATGAACACCCTGCTTCATTTTACATCTCTCTAGGTACACAAAGGAGCCCCGGTGGTGCAGTGGTTAAGCGCTCGGCTGCTAACCAAAAAGTAGGTGGTTCGAACCCACCAGCCACTCCGTGGGAGAAAGATATGGCAGTCTGCTTCCACGAAGACTGCAGCCTTGGGAACCCTATGGAGCAGTTCTATTGTGTCTTATAGGGTCGCTATGAGTCAGAATCGACTAGAAGACAACAGGTTTTTTTGGTCTAGGTATACACACCCAGTTTTCTTCTCTTTTGCAAACTCATTTGAAATTATGTTGAATACTTCCTGACACTTCAGTCCTAAACATTCCAGCCTACGTTGCCTGCAAATCAGAACATTCCGTGAACTACCCAGACAGATGATCAGCACCAGATACTCAGTCCATGTTACAATTGCTCCCCAAACGGCCTTTATGGCTGTTTCCACCCAGGACCTAAGTAAGTATTGCACAGAGCATTTGATTGGCACGTCTCTTGATTCTCCTTTAACCTAAAACAACACCCCTATCTACTTCTGACGGACAGTTTTGAAGACTCAAGGGCAGCTGTCCCGTAGAATGCCCCACAATCTGCATTTGTCTGAATGTTTCCTCATCACTAATTTAGGCTCAACATTTTTGGCCAAGAATACTCCGCAGGGGCTGCTGGGTACTTCTCAGTGCATCCCAGCAGGGGACGCTTGAAGCCACTTTGTCCCATCCCCGGACTAAGGTGGTACCACTAGCTGTCTCCACTGTAGGAGTACAGTCTCTGCTTGGAACGAATAAGGAACCGGATAAGTGATACACTGAGGCTCAGTGGATACCCATTCCCCAACAGCCTTCTACCCAATGGCGCTAGTCAGTACAGATGGTCTGGATGCCAGCAGTGATTCCCAGCCTTCATCTGACACACCTCCCTTCCTTCATGATCCATTAAGTCAGCAGAGCTTGTTCTGATCTATAATTACTCCTATTCAGTGGATGCCATAAGAAATCTTGACTCCCCGTAGAGTACAGCTAGCATCATGAAACGAAGACAATGTTTAAAAAATCCAGCAACGTAGGCTCAGCTGTACCACTGGTTCCCGGTGTGGGGTTTTCTTTTCTTTTTTTTTAATGTAATGTACTTTCCTATAACATATAAATTATGAAACAAACATCCAAGGGTTCCTCCTGAAACCCACCCCCACCACCCGAGAGATAACCGCTATTTTTCCTTAGAAGAGGTTCTATTACATCCCTAAACAAAGTACAAGGCCCCTGGGTGGCACAAATGGTTTGCGCTCAACTACTAACCCTAAAGGTTGGCCGTCTGAATCCACCTAGTGGTGTCCCACATATGGAGTTGTGGTGGTGCAGTGCTTAAGCACTCGGCTGCTAACCGAAAGGCTGGCGTCTCAAACCCGCCAGCCGCTCCGCAGGAGAAAGATGTGGCAGTCTGCTTCCGTAAAGATTGCAGCCTTAGAAAACCTATGGCGCAGTTCTACTCTGTCCTACAGGGTCACGATGAGTCAGAATCGACTCGATGGCAATGGGTTTTTGAAGTGTCGCCGTGGAGAAAGGTCTGAAGATCTGCTCCATGAAGATTACAGCCAAGAAAACCCTATGGAGCACTGTTCTGCTCTGTCAACACATGGATGGTCATGAGTCGGGATTAACTTGATGGCTATGGGTTGGGTTTGGTTTAAACAAGTTCTTGCCTAGCTTTATGCTTTTGAACTTTAGTCTTCTGCTGTTCGCGTCTCTCATCCAACCTTGCATCTAAGATTTGCCCACACTGCCGTGTGTGGCTGTGGCTCATTTTTACTGCTTGGTACCATCCATCGTGGGGTATGCCACACTTTATCTGGTGTCTTCCAAGGGTGTTTGGAGAGTTCTGGTCTTGGCTCATATGGAAGCTCTGCCAGGCACTCTTGTGTCTCTCCGTCCATGCCCAACGCCCACAATTCTGTGGGGACAGTCCCAGAGACTAGGACTGATGAGTGGTAGGGTGTGCCCTTTCTCAGCTTTACCAGACAGCGCTACACTGTCTCCAAGGGAGTGACACCAATTTCCACTTCCACCAACACTGTGTAAGACTCCCTGTAGATCTAAACACTGTTATCGTCAGACTTAATTTTAGTCCGATCGAGTGTAAAATGGCACCACGGAGTGATCTTAATTTGTGTGTCCCTGACTGCACTGAAGTGAAGCATCTGTTTCACTTATTTTTTGCTACACGTGTTTCCGCTCTGTTTAATGTGTTTCTGTGGCTTTTGCTCCTTTTGTCTATAGGGTCTTTGTCTTTTTCCTAACAACTG